GAGCACCCCCCCCCCCCCCCTTAGGGACTGCCGCAAGCCTCTCTGTACCTCTCTCTTTGGTCTTGAAAACGTACCACACGAAAGGGTTAATAAACAAGTCACTCGCCCTGTGATAACTATTTCACTTGTGATTTTACTTTCAAACTCAATAACGGGATACCTACCCCGCCCTACAGTCTTATAGCTTCTTCAGTTGACTGTAGACATCCTCCTGGAATGAATCTCTCTGAACTCCTCGATAAACATGATTTTTCACGTAGGACATTATCGGGTACGCCTGTCATTTTCTGTAAAATAAATTGTAATTTATTAAAAAGTATCTTTAAATTTTAATAAACAATAATATGAACTTTAAGTTGTTTCATGTCTAACGGAATGAAAATCACAGAAAATGAAAGTTTTTTGGTATTGCACAACTCATTCGATTTAACACATAATGTCTCAACTAATTTATCGAGAATTTCACGTGATACAGAAGGGGCCAGGGCTGTGCACTAAATAAAATATAACGGAGTTCCGTTAAAATATAACGCCTCCCCCTTTCTTTGGTTATATATATCTCTGGGATTTTTGAAAAAGTATTAGCAGGCGCGAGCAACTCCCATATTTTCCCATGCAAGAGAATCCGGAATTCTGGGCTTTGGATTCCGGAATGCATCTCAAAGAATCCGGAATTCAACTAACGACTGGAATTTAGAATTCAAGTTCCACTGACAAGGACTGGAATCCAGAATCCAAGACTGTCTTGGATTCCTGTTAGAACATGGGGGGGTACATTTTAGGCCTACAACTGCATGTCACGGCGTTTTACTTCCCGGTTTATTTTTAGACACATTTCACAGTACTTTTTAGAGTACCCGCGAAAATGGAAGCGGGGGAGTCCGATCCGTCGCGCATTCAAAACTATTTAAAATTCGTGCTTATAATGGAATCGTTCTAAAATTAAACTAAAAGCAGTCCTCGAAAACGCCGTGACACAAGTACATACTCATGGAAGCTACTCGCTCCGGGCTTGAGGATCTAAAAGTATCAAACTTGAAAAGCAACAATCTGCAAATTTTTCTCGTTTAAACGCAGTCAAGTGCTTCAATCTGTGCGTATACTAGAGTAACTTAGTTATGTCGGTGAAGATAACTCGTTGCCTTTGGAAGGAAAGCACTGTTAACCATGCCCACTGTTGCTCAAACGTATTTTGTTGTTCCTTGTGTATTTTTCGCTTTTCTTGCCATGTAAATTGTTGCACGTCTGTTTGCACAATGAATGATTAATAATGACCATTATTATTATTATAATTATTATTATTATTATTATTATTATTATTATTATTATTATTATTATTATTATTATCATCATCATCATCATCATTATTATTGGGTAACGCTACCCACTAAATAAATCACAATGCAGCGGATAAGTATTAGGCGAAACAATTGCGTTATCCGCTGGATAGGAATTTATTCAGTGGATGGTATTATCCGCCATTTGAATAACTGGGGCCATAACTGTAACAAAATTCTCTAATCTGATTGGCTATATATGAACAGTCCCGATTTCAGCATTAAGGACCTTAAGATCCGAGGACGGAGACGGCTGAGAAAACGTCGCTGAAAAAGTGAATTCGCGTTCTTTCAATTTTCATCGCGATTACTCCAAGTCACTAACTTTGTCAAATGCAGGCGAACCCTCCTAAAGTTGAATTCCAAAGAATCATATCCAAGTTCAGAAAGAGAGAGGAAATTTCGTCGTCGCTTTTGTACTTCCTCTGTTCATCGTGAAATTGGACATTTTCACGTCGTAGTCGTGCAGTGACGGCAAAGAAATGTACAAAAAAGCGTGATGCAAGTGCAAAAATGGTTGTTTTGCTAATTAAACCTATTGCTTTTGTGGCGTTCCGGTTCTCGTCGCCGTCGTGGGATCTTAAGGTCCCTGACAACAGCGCAGTGCGCAGTGCGCATAATGCCTAGGTATTTGGACGGCACACGCCATCGCGTGCGCAATTGAATGGGTTCAAGCCTCTGTGTTCTAATCCCTAAAGTATCACACATTTTGATACAAGTTCTGTTTAATTGGTGATGACATTTGGTGTAAAGTCGTAGGAGTGACTTTTCTTTACCCACGTATGACTGACTAAATAAGGCCCTTAGACTCAGTCCTTTTTATATCAGGCTTATCTTTCTTCCAGCCAATAAGATCAAACGTTACGTGATCAAAGATCAAGTAACAACTTCAATGCACATACCATAGAGCGCGTGATTTTACTTTCGCGTTTTGTTCCAGTCTACCGTTGTCCATGTTGCCAGTTCACTCAAAATATTTCTCGCAAGCTTAGTTAATTGTGGTACTGAAAAAGCTACGTAGATAATAGGGATAAATTCTCCCTCTCTCTCTCCTTGAGGCTTTTTGGGTGCTCAAATAACGCCCATTGATAGAAATAAGCCTACAAAGGGTCACATATTTCGCACATTATCCAATCACAGTAAACCACTTACTCAGACAGGAAGTTCTTAAACTCATTTTCTTTAGTCATGTAGAAAGGTCAGAGCAATGGCGCAAAAAGAACTTAAATGGTACGACATCTTGTCGATTCTTTTTGGAATCATTTTAGGCTTTGCTGACCCCATCACTGATATTCTAACACTGGTAGAATTCTACCGCGCAAATCACAAGACGTGGTTCGGTGTAGGGCTCTGTTTCATTACTTTGCCATCATTATTTTTTTCATTCATTAATTTCGTCTTCAAGAAGGAGGAATTCAAGAGCTGGTGTGACTGTTGGACTACATGCATATTCAGTTGCAATCCATTTTTTCCCGCTTTTGTGAAACTGAGAACGCTTTTTGTTTACCTGAAGAACCTATGGCGAGGCAATAAAATCGAACCGACTGACATGAAAGAAAATCCACTGACTGTGGATGAACTACTGGACTTAAGCGCGTTTGCTGTTCTGGCCGAGGCCGCTCTTGAATCAGCTCCTCAGTTTATTATTCAGTTGTACGCCATGGCTGTTCAACAGGAATCGGTAGCGATCGTTCAAATGGTTTCCCTGCCTGTGTCTTTTTTCAGTCTGGCTTGGGCGTCTATTGTTGCTGATGAGTTAAGTCACATTAACGGAAGGTGCATCTGTGTAAAAGATAAAGTTCTACTTTTTGTAACGCACTTATTTGTTTTAAGCAGTCGACTCTTTGCAGTTGCTTTGTTCACTGTAAGCTACAAGTGGTGGGTTACCGGTGTTTTGATCTTTCATTGTACGGTGCGAATGATATGTGATTTCATTTGGATTTGCGGAAAAGAAGAATTTACGGTCGTGTTAATTCTCGCTTGTTTTAATTTCTGCTTCCATTGGTTACGAGATGATTGGTCACTTTTATATTTTCAATACGAAGAGATCAGAGAGAAACAGCTAAGAATACTGCTGCTCTCTAACGTGCTATTTGTGATAGAAAACATCACCATGATCCTGTTGTTTTATTTCAGTCATTTCCCTCACACCTGGTTTTCCTTACCTGTCACCATCTGCGTCTGTGTGTTCGCTGTTGTTGGAGCGGCAATGAGGCTCTCTCATTCCTATTTCTTAAAGAAAGAATCGGACAACGATGTTAAAACGGGAAAGCAATGATAAAAGCAAGCAACTCATGACAGAGTAACAGCCATCTCGGACATTCAAAACCTGACAAAGATACGAAAGATATGTGATATCTTAAAATCCCTATTCTGAGTTGTACCACATCACTTAAGAAGCCCAAGGCTCCTGTTCAGATCTGTATTTCATGCGGTATTGCTGTTATACGAATACCCTTTATTCCAAACTAATCATACATTCCCTCTTGAGCTGAGCTAACTTGTTACGCTGCTTTTGAGATACTCATTCCTTTTTGTAAAAGTCCGGTCTAAACAATCGCTTGGAATTGGGAAACTTATCATCCAATCGTTACTGCGCATTAGCTAGCTCAGCCGTGAGGTCCTTCAGAGTTTTAAGTCATTCAGAAAGGTCGAAGCAATGGCCCAAATAGAGCTCGAATTTATCTTTTTGGAACATGGTATCAGTTTTCTTGGTTCTGTGTGGAACCACATCATTGATATTCAGTTTCACACTAATGCAAAGGAATGATGGAATTCTTCCGCACAGAGCATCATATGATAGAGTTCGCTCGATCATTTTTTTTTTTCACATTTTATCACGCATGGTTTCTTTCAAACTTAACCCTTTAAACACTAAGGGTGATCAGCATGAAATTTCTCCTTATAATATCGATGCTTTCGAAAACAGGTTGGTCATGAGAATTGAGTACATGATCAGGGAAGATGACGCTGGTTGATATTTCAACAAATTCTCCCCACCACTTCTGTTGAAAAAGTATAGGGACAATAAATGAGAATCTCAATTTTGATATTAGGATTTAAAGGGTTGAAGGGGGGATCCACGGGTACGGTTCACGGACCACGAAAATGACTAGTCACGGATGACGGATATTTAACAATTATTGGACAAGGTTGAGTAAAATATCGTGATTTTTCTGTGGCAAGAAGATCAATTATTTGCCGAAGCCGAAGGCTGAGGCAAATAATTGATCTGCGAGACACTGACAAATCACGATATTTTGCGATAACCGAGTTCAATAATTGTTTTATCATTCGATCACCAAGTTTGTTGTTTTAATGAATATCCTTGGGAAGCGAAGGGATCTGCCATTTTCACGCAAGAGCGATCGCAAGAAGGAGAAAAGCACGGTTTCCTTTACGCACGAGCAGAATATTATTTGCAGCCAAACACTGTTGGACGGCATTGCACATGAGGAGACCCTCATTTGTAGGCAGTTATTTGCAGGTCACGTGGTGGGCTCTCGGCCAATGAAAAGAAAGAAAATTTGCTTCGAATGATAGTAAGATTTCATTTTCACAAGTCATGATATAGTCAGCATGCGAAGCACTCCTTAATCCTGTCCTTACGCATAGAAAAAGTCACAAAGAGGTGTCTGAAGACACAGCAAAGGGACGACAAGGAAAAGAAAGACTACAAATTGCAAATTTCAGAATTTCGTCGCTCTTTATAGATAACTCTAACAATTGTCCACTACGTGTAGTAACGGCTGGAGGAAACATTTTAAATTGTCATCGGCACTACCTTCCGTAGGATCGTCCGAGTCTGAATTATTGACATTCAAAGCAAAAAAAAAGCAAACATTTTAGCGCTAAGAACACAAAGACAAAGTTTAATTGTAAGTAACATTAGTTTACACGGTTTAGGTATCAAACAGGTAGAATCAGCCAGATTCTTAGGAGTTCATATAGACGGAAATATTAACTGGAAAAATCAAATAAGTCGTGTTTGTAGAACCAAAACTTTCTTGTATACTTTGTCGAGCAAGGCATTATCTACCTCGCGTTGTTATGCGGGGTCTATATTACGCCGTGATTTATCTATCCCTACTAAGTTATCGTAACAGTGTGTGGGGAATTACGTGAACAACAAGACAAGAACCAATAAGAAGGTTACAAAAAAATTACGGTATAGGGATCATTGCTTTTTTAAATAAAAAAATATATATACTGGTGCCATCTTCAAACAACTATCGATTTTACCTTTAGATGATGTAGACAACTGAGACAATGAAGCCATTGATTTTTTTGGCCATGTTTCCATACTTCAATAACAATATACCATCATCTTTTCCATGATTTGTTTTGTCTGAACAAAGACATTCATCAATGCAACACAAGATCGTCCTCTAACGTTCACGAATATCAGGCAAGAACTAACTACCAAAAACACATACAAAGGAGTTTCAACATGGAATAACTTAAGAAAATCAGTATAAAAGAAATTAAGACATTTGACTTGTTCAGGAAAAAAATTGAAACTGATTTTTTCCACAAGCAAGAAAATTAGAATTTTGCTATTATATACAAACGTATTTACATGAATAATTAATCTTCGTTACTTCTCCTCGCAACACAGCCATATCCTTGTCATAATCTTAAAAAGAAATCATTTTAGTAAACTTGTTCAGGGGCTCTCCTCGTGAAGCCTAACAGGTTTTGCTGAGAGCTCCTTCTCGGGTATAATATTATTTTTTAAATATTATTCTGTAATAAGTATGTGAAAGGATGAATAGAGCGGTTTTCATTTGAGTGTCGAAAAGTAATTGGTTTTGCACTTTCTACACGATGCGATTGGCTTAAAAGATTCGCGCCACCTTTTCATCCAATCAGAAGTAAAACCAAAGCCAGTTGTGACGCGCTCGCATGCATTTTCCCGCGCTTTGCGTCAGCCACATGTAATTTCTTCGAGTTTTGATTGGTTCAATGTATTGTCTGTGTCCTATGTGATTGGCCAGGGTAATTACTTTGGTTTTGGTTTTACGACACTCAAACGAAAACCACTCTAAATGAAATGAAATGAATCTATGTCGCACTCTTCCTCATCCTCTTTAACCTCTGCTTTATCTACTGCTTACCTTTCAATGCGTTCTTTACTATCTTCGTGTGATATAGAAGTCATTGCTCTTGTAGCTGAAGGAACAGACTGCTCATCGACTGCAGTGGGGCTGAACGAGTCAGACGCATGGTACATGTTTAATGGCAGGGTCCCCGGTTTAAACATTGTATAGTCTCTTGCCTCACACTCGGGACTCTGTCGCACAGCTTTTCCATTGCTTGCTGCCCAGTCCATCTTGAGTTTTGTTTCCTGTCCGTTGAGCTGCCTAATTACCTCGAGATGTTCCAGTCTCCGGAAAACGCCTCACTACTTTCTTTTCCTTTTTCCAGACGACAGAATTTGAGCTCAATGCTTCTGCGAAGGCCACGTTTCTCGGCCTCTAAATTAATCCCATAAACTCTTCGAGTGAAGATTACTAGGGTAGAGTGTTCGCTTGGTAAGGAAAAGAAATTCTTTGCTTTCCAAGGAAAGTCATTGAAACCAGGGAATTTGGATCTACGTAATATATAACGCTTTCAATTGAAAATATATTACCTGTTTCCCAATTTCAAATAAGCGTGAGAGACACTTGTGCAAGGAAAAGAGTTGGATACAGGGTTTAGCACCGAAGTACGGTGATTAGGGTTAAGTACTGTTTTAATAAAAACAGTTAGCTTTCACTAATGTAACGATCAATACCATGTAACGTAAGTTAAAATTAACTGGTTTCGGCAGTTAGCCCTTGATGGTGTAGTGGACACGGATGTGGATTAAACATCAAAAGATGCGGGTTGGAGTCCTACATACTACCTACTGTTTTCTTGTTTTCTCTTCTTTACTACTTTACGTTGCAAGACTCCTATCATGCATTTTGAGTGAAGACGACAATCTGACTTTGGGGTCTCCAAGCTTATCCATTCTAGTCACTATTTTCACTCTCCATAATCTTCCCCAGTCATAAGATCAAAGATCGCGGCTACAATACGAACATAAACAAGCTTTCGCCCGCCCAAAAAAATACGCGTGCACTGCAGGCTATGTGATGAAAGAAAATACAGTGGGAAATAGAAGTTTACGACTGATTGTGGACTTATTGTGGACCAGTAATGCTGCTCCCGTCGCATGTTTGTTTCTGCTTAAGATTATGCTATTTTACGACGAAATTCTGTTGAGCGGCCAACCTCCCCCAGGAGTGCAAAATACCAAAACTAATGACATCAAAAGAAGACGAAAACGGCTCAGCTGTGTCATGGAGAGTTCCACATTTTTCGATCAAAGCTGAGCCGCAATTATAACCACGTATTCTCAGTCTTTTTTTCTCTAACTTGGTACTCTATAAGGTAACAAGGCATGATCGTTTGATCCTTTAAGTCCCAAAATAGTGACCAAGATAAATTTTCTCCTAACAATATCCATACACCGTCAAGAGATATTAAAGTTATGAAAATTACATGTAATAAAATGATCAGCCGAGAGAAAATAACTTGATCTATCATCAAATTCTCTCAACTAATTCTTCAAGGAAATGTATGGAGATTAGTTTGGAGAATTTGTATGTAGATATTGGGGCTTAAAGGGTTAAACGAGTTAACCTTGAAAAGGTTGGCCCAATTTTCAAGTTGCAATCCGTTGACATCATGACCATCGACAAACTTTTATGGTTGAAGTGTCGTAATAGGATCATTTTGAATAAAATTGAACCATTATTTTGGGGGATTTCTTTAATTCCTGGTTACTTAAGTTCAAATTTTACAAATCACCGTCAATTCTAAAAATGTCAAATTTAAACCGTTCGTATCCTGCTTTGAGACTCAAAGAAACTTGCCTCTCTAATTCCGCTCTAAAATTGGTTGCTATTTACATAACCAGAGATGCCAACCACTAGATCCAAAATTTTGCAGTTCACCCTCCGAGATGAACTCTACTTTCCAACATGAACCTCTCCCCCACCAACACAAACCTTCCCTCCCCCTCCAACATGAACTTCCCTCTCCAATATAAACCTCCCCCCCTCCAACATAAACCATCCCCCGAGAAAAAAAAAACGTAAATCGACGCAGTCCCCCGATTGTAATATGGGTGTGGCTCAGGACATTATACAAAGTCTTACATGACGTACAGGTCGTCATAATTCGCAAAATAATCGTCTCATTGTCTTGTCAATATTTTTTTTAATGTGTTTTGGCCAGGAGACACTGAAA